GGGCTGAAGACCGAACCCAGGGCCTTGTGCTTGCTAGGCAAGCACTCTACCACTGAGCTAAATCCCCAACCCCAATAAATATATTTTTTAAAAATCCGAATAAATTCTTTTTTTTTTTTTTTTTTGGGTAGTTGTTGTTTTGTTTTTCAAGATAGAGTTTCTTTGTGTAGCTCTGGCTGTCCTAGACCTCTCTCTATAGATGAGGCTGGCCTAGAACTCACAGAGATCCACCTGCTTCTGCCTCCCACGTGCTGGAGTGGATGGTGCATGCACCACCAATGCTCATCAGAATATATTCCTCATATCAGACCACAATGGAATAAAAGTAGAGACGAACATGAAAAAGTACAAAAACTACAAAAATACTTGTAAACTCAATCATACTTTTTTGGGTTTTTTTTTGTTTTGTTTTTTGAGACAGGGTTTCTCTGTGTAGTTTTGATGGCTGTCTGGATCTTGCTCTGTAGACCAGGCTGGCCTCGAACTCACAGAGATCTGCCTGGCTCTGCCTCCCAAGTAGCTGGGATTAAAGGCGTGTGCCACTGCTGCCCAGTGAACAATACATTTTTTTTAATGATTTATTTATATGTACATTGGTGTTTTGCCTACATGTATGTCTGTGTGAGGCTGTCATATCCCCTGGAACTATAGTTACAGACAGTTGTGAGCTGCTGCCATGTGGGTGCTGGAATTGAACCCGGGTCCTCTGGAAGAGCAGCCAGTGCTCCTAACTGCTGAGTCATCTCTCCTGTGCTGCAAAACGTTTTTTTGTCTTTTTTTTTTTTTTTCTTCAGAGCTGAGGACCAAACCCAGGGCCTTGTGCTTGCTAGGCAAGCGCTCTACCACTGAGCTAAATCCCCAACCCCTACATTTTTTAATTAATAGTGGGCCATTAAAGAAACCAGAGAAGAAAATTTAAAATTCCTAGAGTTAAATGAAAATGAGAATACAATCTTCCAGAACCTTTGGGGCATAGTCAAGGCAGCCCTAATAACAAAATTTATTGCTATAGATTCTCATATAAAAAAAAAACCTGTGAGATATTTAATAAACACATTAATGATGTATTTCAAGGCTCTACAAAAACAATACTAATCCAATCCCAAACCCAGATACTAATCCAATCCAAAACCCAGGAGACAGGAAGACATTTAAAAATTAGGTAAGAAATTAATAAAATAGACTAAATGAACAATATATAAAATCAACTAAAGAAAGAGTTGGTTCTTTAAAAAAGTAAATATTATTAAATCCTTAGCCAATGTGACATAAAGAATGTGAAGACAAATTTAGAATGTAAGGATGTTGTACAACAGACTCAATGAAATCCAGAACATTAGAGAATAATTTGAAAACTTATATGCCAAAAACCTAGACAATCTAGAAGAAATGGCTGAATTTCTACTTGCATATGAACTACTAAAATTAAAACAGAAGATAAAAATAACTTAGAGACCTACTGTAAGTACTGAATATTTAACCCAGTATAAGTACCGAAGATTTAACCCAGACCTTCTCACATGTTAGGCAAATGCTCTACCATACACTAACTTACGTTTAGTGCATTTTCTTTTAGGAAAAATAGTTAATAACCTCAAGTAAGAATATTCTAACAATTAAGATGGATGCGGTGGCGCACGCCTTTAATCCCAGCACTTGAGAGGCAGAGACAGGTGGATCTCTGTGAGTTTGAAGCCAGCCTGGACTACAGAGAGTTGCAGAACAGCCAGGGCTATACAGTGAGACCCAGACCCTATCTCAAAAAATTATCAAAAAAAAAAAAAAAAAGACAGAATAAAAACAAAAAAGAATATTCTGATAATTAAATATTAGCTAATTAATTCAATATTAACAAAATATTCAAAACATGGAAAATCATGACATACACGTTATCTAATTTCACTGAATCTAAGATATACCATTATACTTTCTAATTTTAGACATGAAAGTATTTTTAAAATTAATATAATAGGGTATTTCTTTCTTTCTTTTGTTTTTCATTTTTTTACTTTTTTGTTTGGTTGGTTGGTTTTTCAAGACAGGGTTTCTTTGTGTAGCTTTAGACCCTGTCCTGGAACTCGATCTATTTCTAACAGAGTCCCATTGGGCATCAAGTTCCTCTAATTTTGTAAGATATATACACCCTACTCAGTATATGTTAAGTGCAGTACAGAAGCATAGGAATAAAAATGGACAGAACTCACATATTTCACCAACAGCTCCTCCTAAAGAAGGAAAGTGAGTCCTTATTCAAAGACAGAGATGAATGTAACATTGTTACAGTGCCGTTACCTCATCACTCTTAATGGACTCCAAACCTGAAGTGGTAGCCACAACTAAAGAAGATTTCTCTCTTAATCGCTTCACTGTGTCAAACATCTGTGAAAATAGTTGAAACATTAAGTTTGGTTAGACTGACCAAGAAGACAAGTCACTAATCTGATTCAACTATCTTGTCTCTAAGTGTCTTTGAGTTAAGCTACTTAGATATGTACTAGAAAAACAAAACTTAAAAGTGACCCTGGCTGTGACAAACAGTACTGTTAGTTAGTGAGCCAACAGCTGAGTTCATTGAGTCTGACTCTCTGTCTGGGGTGAGAGGGTGCAGCACAGATTCATTTGTAAATTTTAATGGGAACTCTAACTCCTGGGCTCAAGTGATTTTTCTAACAGCCTTCTAAATCACTGGGATTCCATAGCATACCACAAACCCAGTTTAAAGTAACACTGTTATTCATGTCTTCAAAATGAAAATATACCACTTTATTCTGACCTATGAAGTGGACACAATCTAGCCTGTGGCGCTCCCTCTGACCTCGCTGCCTCCTTTCACAGTTACAGTCCTCCTGGGCTCCCTCTTCCCACCTCTGAGCACTGGCACTGCCCTGTCCTCTTCCCGAAATACTCTTTAGAGTCCTAGAATACTGGCTCTAGATGATCCAAGTCTCCGCTCTAACTTCGTCTTCTGACAAAGACCTTCTCTTATTATTCAAGGAAACCTTCTCTCATTCTATTGGATTATTTTGATGATTGTTTTAAAATTATCTGTACTTCAACTATGGTGTATGCACCATGAAAGCAAGCTCTTTGTGCTGCTTGGGGTTCTAAATTCAGCATGGCACATTGTAATTACTCAAATCCATGCAACTGATAATGACATATTTGAAGATATCTTTCATTATTAAAAGCAACTCCACAGAAACAGAAAAAAGATGAATTACTAGAATAAAAATCACACAGTTGTGATAACTGATAGTAAACGGCTTTACAAATGGGAAGAGAACACAGTGGCTGAATTTTATCAGCAAATAGAAGATTTTTATATATGGTCACATATAGCATGGAATTACAAAATTATGTATAGTGAATAATAATATTCCATAGTGATAATAATGACGGTCACTTTTTGAACTTTTTTATTTTTGAAATTATATTATAATTAAATTGTTTCTCCTTTCCCACCTCCCAACCTTCCTAAATATCCCTCCCTTGCTCTTTTTCAAATTCATGGCCTCTTTATTGCATTAATTGTTGCAACATACATATATGTATGTATGTGTGTGTGTGTATATATATTCTTAAATATAACCTGCTCAGTCTGCATAATGTTACTTATATATACTTTCTATGTGTTCACTGTATGGTACTGTAAATTTTTATTTATTTATGGTTCTCGGGGTTGAATCAAGGACTCACACATGTTAAATACACATTCTACCACTGATCTCTACTTTCAGGTTCTACACTATTCTTTTCATTATAATTTGAGTATACTCTTTCTACTTACAAAAATAAAACAGTATGCAAAGTTATACCAGTAGCAACCTCATACATCTTGAATTTTTTTATTGAATTTATTGACTCAATAAATGTATCAAGGCCACATCAAGTAACAAACTATTTAGATGTGCATTAGTCTATTCTGTGGTATTCAAGTAAGGATGCATAGCATAATGATGCATTTATCAAAATGTGGTCTTGTCATCAAGCAACATATAACTATATTAAACCAGTTTACTTTTGTAATATACCTGTAGTATCCATGTAATCATGTCCTTCTGGCCTTCTAATTGGGGAATTCCTTTGAGTTTTTCCAAAAGCATTTGTATATTCTGAGCATTCATGGCTGAACTTCCCAATCCTTTTTTAAAATACAAAAAAGTATATTAAAAGAAAATTATCTTCCTAATTTTTGTACTAATTATAACTCTTAGTGCCTATCATTCACATGATAATTGAGGTTTGCCAATCAGTCCCTTCACTACCTTAATTTTTATTTATTTATTTATTTTTGTTTTTCCAGACAGGGTTTCTCTGTAACCCTGGCTATCCTGGAACTTCCTATGTATACCAGGCTGGCCTTGAACTCAGAGATCCACCTGCCTCTGCCTCTCGAGTACTGGGATTAAAGGCATGTGCTACCACCATTGGGCATTTAATTTTTTAAAAGAAGAATCTGCAATTACATGAAAAATTAAGTGCTAAATTAAACAAGAGTTTGAGGAAAAACTCACATTATTTTAAGCCTCCCTCTACATCACACGTTTGTACTGCTAAGAGCTATTCTTTTTTTTTTTTTTTTTAAGATTTTATTATTATTTATTATGTATACAGCATGTATGACTGCAGGCCAGAAGAGGGCACCAGATCTCATTACAGATGGTTGTGAGCCACCATGTGGTTGCTGGGAATTGAACTCAGGACCTCTGGAAGAGCAGTCAGTGCTCTTAACCTCTGAGCCATCTCTCCAGCCCCAAGAGCTATTCTTAATAGTCTGCTCCTGCCTTTCCTCTCTGCTCACTGTCTACACAAAGCACATATGAGAACAACTGCAGAAATACTGACGTGAGACATGTTATATTCATATATAAAGAAGGCTAATGGTATTTTCAATAATCTATAAAGGCAGTAAAAATAGAAAATGTGATTACTTTGCTTAAAGTATTGGTTTTATAATTAATGTTTCAGGAATGCACTTTGAACAAAACTATCTTATCGTAATAGCATTTTATTCTAACCCTATCCTAGTCTTCAAGATTAAGAAAGCAACATTTTCAGTCAGACTCACTTCACTCCTGACATACTACAACCTCAGATACAGTAAAAACAGCTGCAGTAGGGAATTTTTACAACTCAGTATACTGGAAAATATTATAAACATGCTAGGCAAATAAATCATTTAAGGGCTTTCTAAATTTTAAGGATTAACAGATAAAAATGTTTAAGGTCCAAACTTTCAATTACAAACTGGCAATTAGCTAGAAGTTTGTTGGGAAATGATGCTTTCGCATACTTGAGGCCTTATGGTAGAAATCGAACGTCACTTCTTCTTCAGGAGCTTTCTGAAGCTGCTGCTGCTCCTCCAGCAAGCCCAGTGCCAGTATGTGGAATGCCTGAAGGAGGAAAACAAGGGTCTCTGAAGAGCTTCTTCATTAACTGGAGGTACTAATATACATAACCCACAGAGAAAAAAACAATAAGCAAAAATGACAAGACTTATAAACAAATATTCAACAGAAAGAGAAATCATGAAAACTCCAAAAATGCCCCAAATTAAGGAGACATAGCTTAACTATCACTTAAAAAGGGGTAAAAATTTGAAGTTTAGTAAAAACTACACAGCCGCAAAAGTGTTAGGAAGCAGTCACTTGCTATTGTAATGGGGACAGAGGGAAAACGAACTAGTTTCACATTTAAAAAAAAAATCACTGTGACACCAGTCAAAAATGTAAAGCATGGGGGGGGGGGGGGGAGGGGAGGAGATCAAGGGAATCAGTGGCTGATATGTAAAATTAAATTAAATTATAAATTTTTAAAAAAATTGAAAGAGCAGAAAAAAATGTAAAGCAACAGGCTGGGTACTCAGAATTGGTATAGCAAATACACGCATTTATGTACACAAAGATATTTGAACAAGGATGTTCACTGTAAACCAGGTGTAGTGCACATCTGTAATTTCATGTACTTGGAAGGTTGGGGGAGGAAGGATCACCTGAGCCCACAAAATCAAGACCAGTCTGAGCAACATAAACAGAACCTATCACAAGCAAGGAAGCAAACTAACCATAAGAAATGTTGATCTTAGTGTTCTTTGTTATAACAAAATCCCCAATCCAACCCCAATGTCTATTAATAAGAGAAGTTAAATGTATGATAGTACAATGCATAATGAGATATGCATGCAATCAAGAATGACAAAGATCTTTATGTGCTTATGTTGGTGTAGCTTCCAGAAATACAAAACATTAACAGTGTTTACCTCTTAAGTAGGACACTGGGAGATGTGGGTAAATTTTTAATTTTTTAGAGTTCAAATAAAGTTCTATAATACTGAATATAGTACTGCAAATATTTAACACTGTTACAAGTATTGAGATACAAATAGAGCATGAGCCTACGGACCAATAAAAACCAACAGGGGATAAGGATGGTATTAAATAAATACATAATTATAGTTACCATAAAGTAGCAGGATTAAGTAATTTACTAATTTACTAATTAGCAGTTCCAAGAAGTCAGGTACGATGGCTCATAAACATAACTTTAGTCCTTAGGATGCTGAGGCAGGAGGATTACCACAAGTTAAAGGTGGCCTAGGCATAAGGAGTTCAGCCCACCCTGTGCTACAGTATGTGACCCTGTTTCAAAAAACAAACAAACAAAAAGAGTTGCAAGTGTGGCTTAGTGGTAGAGGTCTTGTCTAGCATGTTCATGGTCCTGGGTTCATTCCCCAGCACCACCATCACCAAACCAAACAAAATAAATAAACATATGCCGATAAAATGCATTAGTGATGCATGCCTTTAGGGAGGCAGAGGCAGACAGATCTCTGAGTTCACAGCTTGGTCTACAGAGTTCCAGTCAGGATGACACAAGAAAACTCTGTCTGGAAAATAAAAAAATAAAATTAAAAAATTAAAAAAAGAAGAAAAATGCATGATGCAATTGGATATGGACTTGTCACTAACATGAGCAGACTTCTTTTTGTTTCCTTAACTCAGGAGAAGGAGCTTTATTTTATTTGAACAAAGTTGGAGAATAGTACCTAAGATAGCATAGGAACAGACTATGTTTCAAAAGAACTCATCAGCAAAATGGGTTCTACTTCCCAGCAGCTTTGCAGAGGACACAGTAAAGGGCAGGGAGTGGGAGGTTAATTTCCCCTAGTACAACACAGCTGCTGAAGCTTGATGAAAGAGCAGAACTGGGGGGACTTGGGAAGAGAGGGGTCCTGGCCCTGCCTTCTATGCTTGTACTGTTTGTGTATCTTTTTAAGAGCTTTCTTCATTTTCTTGTCCATCATCTGTTGGGGGATATTCGATCACACTGTGAGCCCTGAGTTTGCATTTGTGTTAATTAAATAAAATTAACCTTGAGTCGGGAGGCTGCGTTAGCAGCTAGTTGACAGAATGTAATCATGGAGCCTCAGAGGGCATCCGGGAGAGACAGAGAGACACAGGAAGTAGTAGGGTGGGGTTTGGAGTGGCACAGCCTTTTCTGGTTTGGCAAAGCAGGAGCACGGGTCTTTCAGAAATGCCAGCAAGGAGGGAAAGTTAGCTAACTGCGACTTGGCCTCTCTGAGCTAGCAGGTTTTTACACCAGCCTTTGAATATGGAGTCTTATTTATAAATAGAAAGATAGAGATTTAGTTAAAGCTACCTTTAGTAGCAGTGACAGAGACTGTACCTGTGGGAGCAGGATTCCCACCAGGCTGTGGCCTGAGTGGCCAGGCTGCTGCTGGAGAAGCAGGCCAAAAACTGTGGAGCTGCAATTGCTGGCCAAAATAGCAGTGGCTTAAGGTATCGCCACTGTGCTGAACTTAAAACGACAATCATCATTCCTAGGCTTACCGTAATCACAGAAGCCAGAGACTTCACAGGAGCAGGGGAAGGACAACGACCTAAGGGTTGGCATCCCTGACACCCTAGATGTGTCACAGGATAAGAAGGCCCACCTGGAAAGCTGGGGAACATCTGGGGTAAGGACCAGGGGCCAAAAGAAAAGAAAAGATGGACAGGTGGTGAACAGGCAAAGCGGGAACCTCCAGGGCACACACAGATTTGACCCTGGCTGCCAAGCAGTGGATTCTCCATGTTCAGATGTTTGTTCAAGCCTTTCCAAAACCACCTAGGCTTGATAAATCCTTCCCGGTCTTAATTCTCACTTCCTGGCTATCCTTATCTTGTGATTCCAGACCCAACACTTTTCTTTTTTCTTTTTTTCTTTTTTTTTTTTTTTTGAGTCTTTTAAAACATAAATAGTTCCCAAGGGTACGAATGCTAAAAACATGAGAATGTATCAACAAAAAAACTTGGGCCATTTTAATGATTCCTGAGTATCATGTGTTTCTAATATGGTTCTGATTGATATTAATCCGGGGATTGTTTTTTAGATTCCACAAGAACTCAAAAGAAAACACTGCAGGTAAACATACCATTTGGAGCATCCCTTCTGTCCACAAATTAGAATCTGTGTCTACTGCCCTCTCAAATATGGTCCTGAGAATGTACATCATAACATCACAGTTGAGAAGGTTGATTACTTTGCTGAAAGCAGGACAGAATTCAGGAGGAGGTGGCGGCGGCAATGCTGTTAGGGAAGCAGAATAAATGAAGAAAAGAGACAAACAGGTACATATTTATCTGAACTACCCTAACATACACAATTGCAAATATAAAAATCAATAGTTTAAATGCAAAATAACATGTGATTTCTTTCTGCTTTAAAGCACCATAAATACCACTGTCAAAGGAAATGTAAACTGCTATACCAGTCTCTCAAAATAAATTGTACTTGCTAACAATTTAAAACACTGTCATTCATGATGGCCCCATATTACTATGTAAATACAAAGCTCTTTATATTTCCTTTAGTTGCCCCCTCAGATCAGCAAAACAAAATAAAACACCCACAAAAAATAGTGAAAATGTGTCAGTTCAGAATCTCAATTTTACCTTCATCTTTATTTTCTTGTTTTCTCCTTTTCTTCTGCATATGTTCAGCCTATTAAGGAAAAGGTAACAACTATCATTACATACACTGCTTAGCAAGCACAAAGCAAATGGAATACTGTTTGAAAATAAATAGAAAGACCTATTTACTAAAATACTTTATATACTAATTTAAATTGTATTTGAAATATTACCTTGACTAGAAACCAAATAATTGTCTTAGGAAAGGTTATTTACTGTAAGATGGGTATGACTCTCATTAAGAACTCAGCCCCTGCCCCAAGTGCTGAGATGGCTCAGCCAGTAAAGGGTGCCTGCCACTAAGTAAGACGTGGGTCTCAATTCCTGAGCCCCAAGTGATAGGAGTAAACAGACTTCTGCATGTTGTCCTTTGACTGCCACGTGGACACCCACACCCCAATAAATAAATAGAATAAAATCTTAAAAAAAAAAAGAACTTAGACCTTGTTGTTTTAGTCAGAAAAACTTGTCCTCTGTACAAGGGCCCACATGACAGTAACTGTTATCTTTATCATAATTTATTTATTTTATTAAATGAAAGCTCCTGTGTTTAACTCCACTGCTGTGAGAAAGCACCAGTCAGCGAGACTTAAAGGACAGCAGCATCTCACTCAGCTCACGCCTGGCCTCAGATGATCAGGAGAAGAAGCCACGGCAGAGCACAGCATTTCCCACAATGGCAGCAAACAAGCAAGACAGTGCTGGCAGCAGCCATCTTTCTCTTCCCCTGATTTTGTAAATTATTCAACTTAAGTAAATGTCAACAAAATCAGCCATCACCTAAACCAAGTGATCACTTATCCTTCTAGGACCAACAGAAACTACGTACTGATGTTCTGCAGAATAGTCACTGCTGTGAAAGACGAGAGAGAGAGAGAGAGAGAGAGAGAGAGAGAGAGAGAGAGAGAGAGAGAGAGAGAGAATTATCCTAAATAAACAAGTGAGGCGTGTGACTCTGAAAGGAAAGACGCATCATTGAACCATCTTCTCCTGTAACAACTATAAAGGACATTTTTGGTATAGCCAAGAAAATTTAATATTGTCTACACACTAGATTGCTGATTTTCTTAGATGAGTTAATACCTTCTACTAACAAAAGCCATCATGAAACTACTTTTCTGTAGATACAGAAAAACATACAGGACTTCAGGGCCATTTACTGAAAAGGGTATTTTCCCTACCTTGCTATGCTGTGTTTTAGAGTAATGGTAAAAGTATGTATTGAAGTCTTTCAGTGATTCATCTTTCAGTTCATACACTCCATGGCCTGATACACCTGGTTTCCTAAAGCAACAGAAAATACAGATGAACAGCAGGCTTTGTTTTGTTTTGTTTTCACAATATTGGGGGAAAAAAGACAAAGAATCTAAAATCTAATCTAAAATTCAAGATTCCTAAAAAAATTATATCTCAGAAATGATCGCTTTAATTGCTATGATAATTCAGAAAGCATACACAGACTATAAAGTCCTGACAACAGTGACACTGTACTCAATAGACATGAAATTCAACCAAATCTGGGAGTCTGTTTTCTGCTAGTGGACCTGATAGCGTGCCCCCTTAGCTTTCCCACTTCTTTTTTACAGCCTTGGTTTTAGAGGTGCCTGATAAACTACAGGACACTACATGATTTAGGGTCAAATCTTAAATGGTAGAGAGACAAGTCATAAAGAGCAAACTGTTACAACAGTAGTGTGGAATCCTTTATCGAGCACGGTAGTAGGAAAAGCACCAAGGTTAAAAGAATAGAACATATTTGCTTATGAACATTTAGCATCTTTGTGTTTCTGCCCTTTTTTTTTTTGAGACAGGGTTTCTCTGTGTAGCTTTGTGCCTTTCCTGGATCTTGCTCTGTAGACCAGGCTGGCCTCGAACTAACAAAGATCCGCCTGCCTCTGCCTCCCGAGTGCTGTGATTAAAGGCGTGCGCCACCACCGCCCGGCTTCTGTCCAATTCTTAAGTTAAAAATATCATTAACCGGAGCTGGAGACATGGCTCAGAGGTTAAGAGCACTGACTGCTCTTCCAGAGGTCCTGAGTTCAATTCTCAGCAACCACATGGTGGCTCACAACCATCTGTAATGGGATCTGGTGCCCTCTTCTGGCCTGCAGTCATACATGCTGTATACATAATATACATAATAAATATATATAATAAATATAATATACATAATAAATAAATGTTTTTAAAAAATTAACCATTAACCACTACTAATGGAGAAAAAAAGCCACATGATATTTAACAAGTTATTGAAAACTAGTAGCATTGCTCTAAACATAATACCATCACAACTCAAAATACATTATTAGTACCAGTTTTCCAAATGTCAAGAATTAATCCCCTTACCATTTTCACTTTACACACCACAAAGAGTAAAAGAATTGTAAAATATAGTTAACTCTGTTGGAGAAAAATCTAAGGCTAACCCATTAAAATAAAAATTTATAAAACAATGAAGTCATAGCTTCAAATTATTGGGGAAGGGTTATCAGATAGTCTTATTAGTTTACTGTCTAAATCACCTAATAATATCACTAGACAAATTTCTCATTTACTTACCAAAGAAGCTCATTTCATCAATAAACACATTAACTATTTCAAAATTAAACATAATTAGTGCCTAGTGCATCCCTCATTCTCACCCGTCTACTCGGCTTGCATTCTCATTCCTGTGAGCTCTACAGAAAAATCCAGATGTTCTACAAAGTATCAGAGCATAAAAATAAAGACCAGCCTACCTCTCAGAATAAGCATAAATATTAAACACTTACTTAAATGTGGCCACTTTGTTTATGACATTCTCTAAGCCAGTTTCGTTATTTTCCTGTTGAAATGACATTTTTGACATTGTTACTTTCAAGTAACGAATTTTCCTTTTTTTTTTTTCTTTTTTCTTTCTATTTTTGGGTTTTTCCAGACAGGGTTTCTCTGTGTAGTTTTGGTACCTGTCCTGGATCTCACTCTGTAGACCAGGCTGGACTCGAACTCACAGAGATCCGCTTGGCTTTGCCTCCCCAAGTGCTGGGATTAAACTAGTGCACCACCACCACCCGGTGAATTTTCCTCTTACTGTGAACTGAAATATATTTTCAACTTCATCTCTGAAGTACTTTATATACAATAAATTAAAAGATTAATTGCAATATTTATTAAAACTATATATAGAGCCAATTTGTTGTAGGAAACTGATTTCTTAAGGTCTATAATCTTATGCATAAATAGCTCTCTCTGTTTGCCTTCACACACACACACACATATACAAGTGCAAAATCCTTAGCTCCCATCCTCTTCTCTTTTCTTCTTTTTTGTTTGTTTTTCTTTCTTTCTTGTTTTTTTTTTTTTTTTTTTTTTAATTTAACCCAGGGCCTTACAGTAAGTACTCTTATCACTCAGCTTTATACTCATGCTTAAAAGCCTTATATAGTATATTCATAAACAACATTTAGGTACATGTCCATACTTTACTAATCCTTGAAACCAAAGTAAATAGAATGAACAGCCTCCAACCAGAAACATATGGCAAGACATCTGTGCAAATGCCCAGATGTGCAGCTCTGATAATTTTCTGCTAACTAAGCACCAACTTTTCCTCAAAAAAAAAAAAAAGAAAACAAAAAACCAGACTAGTATTTTTATGAAGTCATGTACAATGATAAGGACCTAGTTAAGCCACTACATTAAATTTATAGCTTCCTATGGTCTTTAAAAATTAAGCTATTTAACCTCTTTTTTTAAGTTTATTTTGGGTGGCAAGATGGCTCAGTGGGTAAAGGTACCTCCTGCCAAGTCTGATGACCTGAGTTTAATCCCTGAGACCTGCATAGTGAAAGGAGAGAACTGATCCCTCCAAGTTGTCCTCTTATCTCTGCAGATGGCACATGAGTACTGTAACACACACACACACACACACACACACACACACACACACAAAATGTTAACGTTTATTATATTTACCTATTTAGAGATGGAGTCTCACTATGTTGGTGAGGCTGGCCCTAACCACTTGGGAACAAACGGTCCTCTGCCTTACCTGCCCATGTAACTGGGATTACATGAAAACCCATGCCACCACATCTATTTAACCTCCTTTAAAAACAATGTACTCGAGAGTGAGCAGCACAGTCAGAGGGGGCCCTAGAGCAGTTTGCTTCTAAGTATGGTATGTATGCAACACCAGTCATATGGGAAATTACTTCAGGTGTAATAGATACTTTTTTGAATTTTTGAATATTTTATTTTAAAAGTATTTAGGGGGAAATTACTTTAAAAAACTATTAATGTACACATATTGCTGCTTAAAACACACTAAGGAAAACTGTAATTTGATATTTAAAAGGCATTAGTCATGAAATTAGTAAATGGATATACAAAAATCACAAAAGTAACAAGCCAAATAGCTACTGTTTGACAACCAGTTTACAATGAAACTTGAAAAAAATGACAAATTATTTGAGGTGGAGAGGAAGAAAATATTTAGTGAAAGCATATCCTTGTATGTATGAAAGTCTTGACAATACAGGTAAGTTTAGTTCTTTATTAAGGATCACTTTTCTAGAACTGCGGTTGTGGATAAAAATGTTTTGCCATGTTCTCCTGATATAAATGATATCCAAGCCTTAGAACCCACAGAAAAATCACATGCAGTGGCTCACAAATGTAATCCCAGCATTCCCATGGTAAGACGAGAGTCAGAAGAATCACCAGAAAGCTCATGCAGGCAGCATGATATCCACATGGGTGTCACGGGATGTGCATAATTCCACTTCCACTCACACATACACAAACAAAAACTTAGATAAAATAACCATTGTTCTAATTTATACTCAAATCTCAGAAGAGGAAAAAATAATAAGAATCGTAACTTTAGGACAATATTGTACCAATATCTACACATGCTAAAGCATAAAGACCACTGTGGGGTAGAGCAAATTTGACCTTCCCCATCTCTATTTAGAGAGCACAATGATATGCTTCCTCTGCTGTCCTTCAGGCTTCTCACTGACGGAGTCTAGACACGGGCAAGGCAGCAAAGCCTGACTTTTCTTTTTCTCTCTATCTCTATCTCTCTCCATCCCTCCTCACTTTTCTTCACAGGGCCTTGCTCTGTAGCTCCAGCTGGTCTGAACTCCAGATTCTGGGATCACAGGTGTGTGCCACACTACGTAGCCTTCCCCTGCTCTGTTTTCACCCTTTCCTTCTCTTTTCACATAATACTTGTACATATGATTGAGACATATCACAATAATTTCATATATGTATGCAATGTATAACTATCAAATCAGGGGAAGTGGAATTTCCAAGTCCTCAAACATTTTTCAGTTCTATATGTTGGAAAATTTTGGACTCTTTTTTTCTAGTTATTTTGAAATAAATCACTTTGTTGTCAAGTACAGAACACTAGAACGAATCCCTCTTCCTACCTCACTGCACTTCACTGCCTGTTATTGAATCCCTGATCTCCCCGACACCCTTGGTTTCTAGTGACCACTATTCTGTTTTCTTCTATGAGGTCAACTTTATTATAGGATGCTTCCATTCATCTTTCTTTGTTTTTTTTCTTCACGAAAGCAGGCTTGCAAGATACTCCAATAGCTCCCCTAGTACTTCCTAGTCCCCATACCACATTTTATTATTTCACTGCAGAAATAATAAAATATTAATGTCTTGTTTTCTGACCTGCTTCCCAGATGATCTACATTAATATAGTGCTCCAACACTCTGAGTATTTCAGATAGCTTTCATTTCCTCTGCCAAAATCTTACTTTAAAGTAAATAAAAAATTTAAGAGCATTTTCCTAGAACTAAAGCGCGTATACATAAAAATTGAAAGGTAATTGATTTACAACCCTAAAATAAAAATATGGGTCATTTTGCTTAGCAAATTTTCCTGAAATTTGAAGTCAACTTCCAATTAAGAAAGAAAGAAAAAAAGAAAAAAAAAGAAAGAACGAGAGAAAAAAACAAATCAAACCAAACAACAAAAACCCAAACTCCTCCAATCTTGGGAAGAGGGACTGAGAAGTAAATTGAGGGGCTAGAGAAATGGTTCTGTGGTTAGGAGCACTGGCTGCCCACACACCAGCCCCGGGTTCAGTCCTCGGTGCCTCTATGTGGGCTCACAACTATCCACAGCTCCAGTTCCAGGGATCCAACACCCTCGAAGAATACCAGGTATGCACGCATGTGGTACACTTACAAACAATGTAGGACAAACACTCATACACATAAAATAAAAACTTTAAATAAAATTTTTTTAAAAAAGAAAAGTAGAGCCGGGTGGTGGTGCACACCTTTAATCCCAGCACTCAGGAGGCAGAGCCAAGTGGGTCTTCATGAGTTCGAGGCCAGCCTGGTCTACAGAGAGAGATCCAGGACAGGCTCCAAAACTAAGCTGAGAAACCCTGTCTCGGGGGAAAAAAAAAAAAAGTAGACTTACATTCTCAGGTAGGTTTCTGGCAATGGCACTGTGTGGCATGGGCTCAATGCAAAGCAAGTGAATAATCTCTCTCATTACGACTTCCTCTTTGGTAACATTTCCCACTCCAGGTACATAACGCTCTCCTAATACAATGAAAAGTAAAACCAGAAAATTCCATTGGTTTCTATTTAACTTCTGTTCTAACAGATAAAATGTACTTATACCCAGAACACTGAATTAAATCAGGTTTACAACACACAAATCAAAATGATTTCAATATTTCCCCAAAATCAAATAATAAACTATTTGCTGAAAGAGAGAACTCATTGAAAATTCAGCCCTTATTTTAACTTACTGTAACCCCAGCACTGGGAAGTTGAGATAGGAGGATCACAAACTGAAAGACTAGCCTGGGTCACATAACAAGACCAGGTTTCAAAAGTCAAATCAATAGGTTGGAGAGGTGGCTCAGTAGGTACAAGCATGTATTTCTCTTGCAGAGGACCCAAGTTCTATTCCTAGAAGCTCTATCAGGACACTCACAACTACCTGCTAATCCAGCTCCATAGGACCCAACGCCTCTGGACTCAAAGGACACCTGCACTCACATGCACATACCCACACCTACTCTAAAAACAACAAATAAAAAATCATAAGTCGTTTACGGTCAGGCATGTTGGCACATGCCTTTAACACCAGCATGTTGGAGGCAGAAGCAGGCAGATCTATATGAGTTGGAGGCCAGCCTGGTCTACATAATGAGTTTCAGGTCACCCTGACCTACATAGTGAGACCCTGTATCAAAACGGAAAAAAGAGGGAATAAAATAAAATAACTGCAAAAAAAAAAAAAAAAAAAAAAACCAACCCAAAACCAGGGTCTGAAAAGATGGCCCCGAGGTTAAGAGCTCTTGCTGCACAATCATGAAGACCAGTTTGGATCCCAGTATCTGTGTAACAAGCCAGGTAGCTCAAAAACACTTCAGCTCTAAGGCATCTGATGCCCTCTTCTGTCTTCCACATACATGCATAAATATGTGCACACAGAAACATGTGCCTATACACCCACTCAGACAACAGAGAAGCTGCGCACGCGCACACACACACACACACACACACACACACACAGAAAGAGAAACAGAGACAAAGAAATAGATAAATACAAAAAAAGAACAAAATGAAAACTGAAAAATAAAATTAATGGCTTACATATAAAACAGTATTATGTATCAAGCCCAGGGCTCACATATAGTAGGCACATACTCTACCACTGAGCTACATCCCTAGGTCCAGGTCCAGGTTACAAATACATAAACACACACACACACACACACACACACACACACACACACACACACACACAAATCACTGTCAAATAGAGATTAAAAATTGCTAAATTAACTATAGGAATGTCTCTGGTATCATAATATCTAATTTCCACTGCTTCAAGACATAAAACATTTGAACATATGGCACCCCTGTTTTTTAATTATGTTTTTAGTGTATATTTGTGTGTGTATATTATATATATATGTACACATATATGTAATTATGTAATGTGTACATATGTATTATATAAATGTTTAGGTATGTGAGCATATGTGTATGTGTGTGCGTGTGCAGGCCAGAAATCAGTGTCAGGGGTCTTCATTACGGGATCTTGCTTTCCACCCCATTTCTAAGATAGGGTGGCTCACTGGATCTGGAGCTCATTAATGCAGTCCAACTTGCTGGCAAACCTGCTCTTTAGGATCCTCCTGTCCTGGCCTCCTTGGTTCTGGGTTGAATTCATGCCCTCGTGCCTGCACAGTAGGCACTTTACCAATCTGAGGCACTTACCTGGTCCTACTGAAATTTTCACTGACATATATTCACTAAACATAGTAATGGGCTCCATAAGGACCACTTCTTTCAGCTGTATTGTGTACTTTGACCACATCCATCTCCCATACTGTCCTTTCCCTTCCACTCGTCTCCTTCTTCATCCCCTTCCACTCTGCCTTCAAGACCTACATATTCTCCACGAGTTTTCAACAATGTAACACCTATACAAAGACCTATGGCATCTGTAAAAGAACCTTTTACCAATTTTTTTTTTTTTTTTTTTTTTGTTTGGTTTGGTTTTTCGAGACAGGGTTTCTCTGTATAGTTTTGGAGCCTGTCCTGGATCTCACTCGGTAGACCAGGCTGGCCTCGAACTCACAGAGATAGATCCGCCTGGCTCTACCTCCCGAGTGCTGGGATTAAGGGCGTGCGCCACAACCGCCTGGCCTAAGAGAACCTTTTAGATAATCTCTAAATCACACACATTTCACAAGGAATTTGTCCAGTGACTTGTTTCTAATAACTTATTTTCACATTTGCAAATTTTATAATTTAACTTCCATATATATGTTTTCAACCAAAGGATCACAGTCCCAGAAGCAACCTTGGAGTAAGTTCCTTTCACATTGTATGGATTAGGAATCTGAAACTCAAAGATTATATAGCGTGCGCTTAACTACTGAAAGCAAGGCTGAGACTTCATCCCATAACTACTAATCCAGATATTTTCTACGTATTTGTATTTTTCCCATTACAAGCCAGAAATGAGGCTTGAAAGACGGCGCATTGGTTAAGAGCGTTTGCTGCTCTTTTGGAGGAGCCAAGTTTTATCCTAGCAGCCACATGGCCGCTCACAACCATCTTTTCTCCCTCTGCTATTTACACAAAGTAATTTGCAAGAATGACATGATAAAAACATTTAACTTAGACCCAGGATACATTTAAATGTCATGTACATATGTAAATGTTAGCACTAAGTAAAAAGATTAATAACCTAGGCTCATAGGAATTCAGAGACTGAACTGACAACCAGGGAGCCTGCATGGAACTGGCCTAGGCCCTCTACATATATGTGACAGTTGTATCGATTGGTCTTCTTGTGAGACTCCTAACAATGGGAACAGGGGCTGTCTTTGACTTTTGCTGGCTTTTGGGACCCTACTCCTCATATTGGGTTGCCTTGCCCAGCCTTAATAAAAGGGGAGGTGCTTAGTCTTACTGCAACTTGATATGCCATGTTGTATTCATATCTATGGGAGGCCTGCCCTTTTCTGAATAGAAATGGAGGAGGAGAGGTTGGGGGAGGGGCATGGGGGGAAAGAAGAGAGGGGAAACTGCAGTCAGGATGTAAAATAAATAAGTAAATTTTAAAAAAATCTACATTTCTAGTCAGGATACTTTTTTAAAAAAATGATTTTATTTATTTATTATGTATACAGCATGTATGCCTGCAGGCCAGAAGAGGGCACCAGATCTCATTACAGATGGTTGTGAGCCACCATGTGGGTGCTGGGAATTGAACTCAGGACCTCTCTCCAGCCCAGTCAGGATACTTGTAACTTGACCTTCAAAGTCCAACAATTAAAAATCAAGTATAAAAATTAAGAGGTTACTAGGGATATAGTTTAGTGGTAGAGTACTTGCCTAAAATATAAAGGGCCCTGGGTTTGATCTCCAATACTGAGAAAAAAATATGCAAGGTTCATTTTTTTAAAAAAACTTTATAAATCTATACATTACACTGGTCACATTAAACTCTGATATTTTATGTAGCATTTGGAACAGAAGACAATTATCAATTTTATTTTATTAACATTCTTTAGAAAGTAAATCATGTTCCACTTCAAAATATTTTGTTTTAATCTTACCCACAATATAGATGAGGACCTGAAGCATTTCTTCTATTAATGTATTATACTGCTTAATCAAATCCTATAGAAATAAAAAAAAATAGTTACATAAGAACCACAAAACTTCATCAAATCTGCATTTCTTGATGTACTCATGACCCAGCCAGCCAAGAGTTTTCTTCAGAGCACAGTTGGTACCAAAGCTTCCACTTGACACATACAGTACTCAAAAACATCTGTTAAAACTCTCCATTTCTTCATTACCATTATCTCCCATCATTATTTGTCCTAAATAACAAATTCTAATCTTTTCCTTTCTCTACTATTAGCTTCCTTCTTACCAGGACAGTGAGAAAGTTGGTTTAAAGTAGATGTCCTAGATATGGTAAGACTACCCTTCCCTAAAACATAATCAAGTTCAACAGATAAAATCAGTTATTGTCACCAAGTGTAAAGTAACAAAAAATTAATTTTCTTTCTATAGCTTATTCTTTGGGCCTCTGTAAATGACTTCTAAGTTAGAAGAATAAAGTAATGGTATTTAATAAATTTAAGACAGTCAGTGTTGCCAGGTGTTGATGGTATACAATTTAATCCCAGCACTCAGGAGGCAGAGGCAGGCAGATCTCCAAGTTCAAGGCCAGCCTGGTCTACAGAGTGAATTTCAGGATAATCAGAGCTACACAAAGAAACCTTGTCTTGGAAAACAAAACAAAAAACAAAAAAGCCAGGGTTACTTTATAAGCTAGTACTTCAAATATTAAAACAATACAGAGGTGACATTAAAATCAGTGTGATATAAAAACTCCATGCTATCAGAAATGTGCATGCACTAATCTGTTAATACTTATTAGACATGTATTTAATACTTGTATTATAGATGTTTGCAATATCAAAACTCAGTATCAAAATATCAAAATTCAGTAATGAGACAAAAGTAAATGCTTTCTGCATGCAATGGAACTGCTCTATAGTCATTAAAATGATATGTAAAAATGATATAGGTCTGGAATTTATTCAGTTACAAGAAAAAAATCCTACCACAATATTGTTAAACACAGGCTACGAATTATAAGATGACACACGCAGAATAAAGCTTTTGCTTTAAAAACAAACTATTTGGCACTTTATTCCCGAAGGCAGTATATTAAATGGCATTTCTTTTCTTTGTTGATCTATATGGAGTCTAAGCTTTCTAGAGTGAAAAGAAAGTATGCATGTTTGTATATTTGTGCATTCTATGTGCACACACGATGTTTGGAGGTACAGTTGTTCCAGAGTATGGGATGTACCATGGCTCCTAGACATCTAGGACATCCCAACCAGGACACCAAAATTCAAGGATGCTCAAGTCCCTTATAAAATGATGTAGTATCCATGTATGAACTATACACATCATGCCATATATTTTAAAAGTACTTCTAGATTACTTATAATACCTAATACAAATGTAAATGTCATCTAAATAGTGGTTATATAGCACTGTTTGAGGAATAAGTTTATAAATTAGTACTGATACAATTTAAAAAAATATCTGATCCCTAGTATGATGTATCTGTAGATGCAGAATCCAGATATGGAAAGCTAATTGTATACACGAAAAATATGCTTTTAAAATATAAATAAAATAGAGACACTGATCATTTCTTTGGAATTAATTCACATGCAATCCATTGCTTACCTGGTCTTTTGTGGATATGGTCTTGTTAAAAGCATCAGTAAGTTCATACCTCTGAAGTACCAGTAACAAGAACTTGTTGGGATCCATTATAGACGCTCCAATCTGTGAAAGAAATTGAGTGTCACATTTCTGTGTATTAAATGGAAGAACACTTGTCACTAATAGTCACTTCATAAAATTACAAAATAAGATTGCTTATTCTATTTATATGCTACCATGTTCAGTTAATGGTGAGACAAACTCATGTTTAAAACAGTATTCCCGGGCTGGAGAGATGGCTCAGAGGTTAAGAGCACTGACTGTTCTTCCAGAGGTCCTGAGTTCAATTCCCAGCAACCACATGGTGGCTCACAACCATCTGTAATGAGATCTGGTGCCCTCTTCTGGCCTG